TTCGTAAATATTGATAGTGACCAATCTGTTTGTATTTCAAAAAATTGTAACATGTTCCAATTAAATTAAATTAAAAAGAGAATAGTAAATAACTTAGTGTGTATTGCAGTTCATGTCATAAATGCGAGAATGCTGTATGTAAATGATATGCAAATTAATATGCAAATTTATGCTAATTAGGCCGCCCACCAGCTAATTTGGATTGTGGAGAACACTGTATGCATTGTTGTATGTGTTCAATGAAGCAAATGATTTATCTTGTAATAATATCCTTGGTAATGTATACCAGAATCCCATACTGGGTTTCAAAACCAACTCATGGAGAGATTGCACAGTCTGATACACATTTGCAAACCTACCAATAAAATCTTTACAGAAAACAAGATGTCAGAAAATCAATATAACTTAAGCACTCCTATGAACAGGGTGCCAAACTTTGATCAAGATCTGAAGCTAATAGAAAATCTGTTTAGTTCAAAGTTATCAAATCAAAAACAATACATAAAAAATACATAAAAATCAAAACATTTCATCCATATTTTAAAAAGAAAATTGTTCTAAAATATATGTATTCTGTATTTGACAAACAGTTCATTCGACAAATGAAAACTCGCAGGATTATGTTTCAGCTATTAGAACAGAATGATAGAGTTTTCATAATACTAGTTTAAAAACGCACTTCGAAGATTGCAGTGTTTGAAGATGTATTTTCTCAGGAGGCAACAGTACTGTTGACTTCTCCCTCCATTGGACACCAACTAACTATTTAAGTTGATTTGCATACAAAGCAGAGCTTGCAACATGTAATACAAAATACTTGGACAAAAGCCAGCTAAGATTTTCTGTTATCTTGCATGTTTTATGAATCTATTCACGTCTAAATGCAGAACTTTTTTTTTGCGATGAGGCATTTATTTTTATACTAAAATATCTGAATTACTTTGAATAAAACTGGAAATTATGTCCCTTAAAATAATTAAACAAATAAGGCACCAATGTTTTTGTAAGATATTTACATCTTTTAAGGACATTCGGTTGACTGATTCCCCACTGTTGGTTCAACCCCAAAACTTGTTTGTATTCAAAATTAATTATGACAATGCATATTTATATTGAAACAAACTGTGATAGAGGGAATTATATTATATAACAAAGGGCAAGGTCACCAGAGTTCAACTATGTTTATTATAAATCTTGATTTTCACCTTTCCTTCATGCCAATGACCAAAATGATTTGAATGGTATAACCCAACGTTGACAACAAAAAAATGGTGTAACGAACAATTATGCATGACGTTTGGATCTTTTTCTGCTCCCTGTGCGAGTTAGTAGTGGGCTAACCTTAAATCTGAAGAATCAACCTGTGGGACTTGTGAGATGAATCGACTTTGGGACGAATCGACTTGTGGGGTGATTGACTTGGGACGAATGTGATTTGGAATTTAATATTTGAGTACATGCTTTTGATAATGTTATATAATGAGCCGTTAATGCCATTAATTTGCAATTTGTATAAAAGACCAGTTTGGCATATACCGGTAGTATCAAAGCGTCATTTCTCAAACAATGTCTGAAATGATTTTGTTCAAAGTTAGTAAAAAAAATCATAATGGGTTACATATGCACATTGAATTGTTTTCCATTTTGTAGATCTTTGACTGACTGGCAGCCATTTTCTGTCAAAAAACACTGATTGCATTCAGACTTGTTTATAAATATCAACTCATAGTGGGCTACTTGTGCATGTTACTTTATTTTGTGATTTGCCTAGCATCTATGTGGTGTTAGTTTTGTGTTCTCAACTATTTCTCGGACATGCTTTGACTGATTTTGTTGAAAGTAGGTACAAAGTTTTTTGTTTTGATGACGTATGACAGACTGGTGGCTTTTTTTGTTTGTTATAAACCGCCTTTCACGGCTGTTAACCGGTCAAATTTGTTGAAGTGTAGTTACCATGTTACGGTCCATGCATTCACAACATGTTCACAGTGGTCAATATCCACACTGTATTATATAAATTTGATTACTGGTATTTGGAAAAGTCAAACAATGATCAAAGACCAGTTTTTATGACTAAACAGTGAAATTTGGGGCATTTTGGATGGGATAGATACTTAGCCGAACGTGACCCCAAGAAAAGAAATTACTGGTATCCCAAAAGTGGGGGGTGAGTACAGTGGTTTCATGTACATTTACTGGCAGAACGACTTAATATTAAACAATTTATCATAAAGATTTATCTGGTTGCTATATATAATATAAATGACTGTTTATTTTTTCCATGTAGGCTGTTACAAGTTCTGTCATACCAGCAAGATGTCTTAATTTACAAGAATATCAAAGTAAAAAGTTAATGGAAAGTTATGGTGTCAATGTGCAAAGGTTTAAAGTGGCTGAAAATGCAAAGGATGCAGGAGTTCAGGCACAAGAACTGTGTAAGTAACCTAGGCATTCTGAATGATGACTTCTGCAAAGTAGTGTCATTACAAGCTACTTTGTACTAACATTATACTTGCCCATTCTGGATATGAACATACCATTAACAATATGCCAGCAAACTGGATGGAACACTAGCAACTCTGGCCTTGTCTGCATAGCATCTATAATTTACATGTACTTGTACCATTTGCCTGGGTAATAAATGAATACTGACATCCTTGTCTGGATACCCATAATGCTTGAGCATTGTTTCATAGTCAAGTTTGTATCATTTCAACACAAGCATACAAGCACATAAATTTTAGTTTTGATTCTAAGCAAAGTTATTCAAAATTAAAAAGCTTTTCAACTAAAATTTTGTCCCAATAACAAACAATACTTCGATTATAATCATTTTGATTTTATCATCTAAATACTCATTTCTTGTTATTGGAATTACTCTAATCAAAGCATAATATTTATTTGTTGCAGTGAACACAATAGCATCAGAACTTGTAGTAAAAGCCCAGATTTTAGCTGGTGGTAGGGGGAAAGGAAAATTTTCAAGTGGACTTCAAGGAGGTGTTCATCTTACAACAAAGTAAGTCAATTATGAATTCATATGTCTGACAAATAATAATGCTGCTGCTTTCTTCCAAATCTAACAAATAGTAAACAGTTAGGTTAATTCCACACTGTCTTCTGACTACCGTAGTTTAATCAATGTGTAATGCCTGACAGTGTAATTAAGAGATGTGGAGATTCAGAGTATTCCATTCATAGTGGTAGTGTTTGTTATGTGAGGGCTTGTGGGAAAAGTCAGTCAGAATCAATGAATATACACAGGAAATAAACAAGTAATGAAAATAATGATATAGTGCAATGATATATGGAGTGGAGGTGAATATTCTAGTACATACATGTTCAGGTTTTGGTATTCTGTTTCCGTAGAGCGGATGAGGTTAGTTCACTCATTAAAAAGATGCTGGGTCATACACTAACTACAAAACAAACTGGTAAGGATGGTGTAATCGTTAAAAAGGTATGTTTGAAATTTATTTATATCCACACTGTGGAAATAAAAGATTACATATCCTGTCTAAATTTGTATTGCGACTTCGCATCCATTTGCAGTCTGTATGTCGCTGTTACTGAATTCAGTTTATTTACTACTGTTACCTTATTTGGTATTCTACAAGGCTGGGTGGTTGCTAGATTGCAGGGATGACAATAGTCTGCCTTAATACAAACGTCTGCCATTATGTATGATGTTTTAGATGATAAAATACAAATTACATCGCATTCAAATTTGACCTTACATTCAGTTTGAATGGTGCAGCTATTTTCATGGGTGAATCATGTAAAAACACAGCATGGATACACTGATCACAAGTGAAATCAAAGAAAGCTTAGAAAGAACTCCCGTGTGCTGAGAGTATTGAAGACACATTAAAAACTAATTCAAAATTACTTGTACATGAGATATTGATAGAAAAGCTGAAAACTAATTATGTAAATCAGGTAACTAATATTAACAGAACAGAACTAACAAATTATGAATTATTATTTTAATTAGAGAATTAATATGAACAAATTTTAACCCAAAATTAATCAGGCCTGTCTATTGTCCCAGAGCATTTATGTACCAAATTTTATTCAAATGTGATGATCAGTAATTGAGATATCAGTGTTAATTATGTTAATTAGGTGATTAATAAGCATAATTATTTACCAAAAACTAATTGGGTCTTTGAATAGTTCTATTTAAAAGTTTCATTAAAATCCAATTTGTGGTTCTTTATATATCAGTGGAACAATATGCAAATTAGGTAATTAATATCCAATTAAAACTAATCAGGTCTCTGCATAATCCTAGAAGATCTATGTAGCAAGTCTCATTGAAATATGATGATAGTACTTGAGATATCAGGCAAAAAGCTGAAAATTAACTAATTATGCTAATAAGGTAATTAATATGCACAAATATTTACCCAAAAACTAATCGGGGTTCTGCACAGTCCTTAAGTAACTATGTACCAAGTGTCATTGAAATGTGATGATTAGTACTTGAAATATCAAAAGCTGAAATTTAATTAACTATGCAGATTAGGTAATTAATATCCAATTAAAACTAATCAGGTCTCTGCATAATCCTAGAAGATCTATGTAGCAAGTCTCATTGAAATATGATGATTAGTACTTGAGATATCAGGCAAAAAGCTGAAAATTAACTAATTATGCTAATAAGGTAATTAATATGC